GTCCCACAAATACGTCTCTATTACACCCCCCAACCCCCTCCTCCTTCACCTCCGTTCCCCTCAGCACCTCATACTTCTGTTTATCTTTCCAAAATCTGCCTTTCCGAAACCAGAGACACAGTGAGGAGGTGTCTGATTCACCAGAAGCAGAATGTCGGTGGTTCCCACAGGAAACCTGGAGCGTCTCAACCCTGGGTGCCCTGGACGAGCAAGCGCGCAAGTGCACAAGCACACATACACACACAAGTCTAGCAACACTAGGATTGCCCATAAAACCAGATAGGTGCAATTAACATGACTATGACTAGTCAGTCAGACTGATAAAACAGTTAGGAACAAAACCTGAACCATAATTTGTAGCTATGTTCCAAATCAATACAGAATCCAAAAGTGAAATAATTTAAATGGAAACTCATGTCACAGATGACTTCAGTTTCAGTTTTTTGCCTCAAAAAGGCTTTGCCTTGCTTTATTTGGGCAAAATTTGACCACTGGACCATTTGTCAGTTAAGTTTCAACTTAAATAATTATTTCATTACTTCAAGTGACCAATGTTTTTCTATTTATTAAACTTCAGATGAGTTTTGCATGATGAGGTTGACAACAAAGTGGAGTCATTAAAGGCTAAAAGGCAGGCTTGAGACGGACTGAGCAGTATTTTGGCCCAGAGTGGGGGAAAGCGATTCACTTCTCCACCGTATCACAGATTATTCCTATTGAAGTCAGACGTCCTCCCACAGGAGGAAAAATGTATTCGGTGTGGTTACAGTCAGAAATGACTGAGCAAGAGTGCTGCCATATCAAGCAGTGACCGATGCCTCTACCCTTCGCCTTAACAGCATGAACTGCCACTGCAGTAAAACTGAGCTTCACCAGCATAACCTCCTCACCCACACTCCCATCTCAAAGAGCACCCCCAACCTCCGCCACCATCGCCTCCTAATAAAAACATGGTCTGCTGTCCGACATGGCAACCCGTAGAGTCTTTCATCTCCACAGCCACACACACAAGTTCCAACCTTAACCTATCACACACTTTGACCTGCTCATAGGAATGTGTGCTTCTTTACACACACGTATGCACGAGGGGAAAAACACACACATTGAGAAACACTGAGCTCTGTCTGCTCCTGGACCAGGCAATCTGACTGTTCCTTTCATCTCCCCACTCCTTTCTCTGCTTGCTGCTGGCACCATTACATTAACACAAACACTGTATTTCTGTCATCGTCCCCAGGACGTGGCCTTCCCTTAATATCTTTCTTTCTTCTGCAGGCGTTCGGGGAATGATGATGGGAGCCTGAAGGGATCTAGGACATGGGTGAATTGTGGGAAACCAGAGTGCAGTCTGTGGCCTCACAGCATGCGACCCTCTCCCTCTTTCTTTCTCTATCTCTGTTTCTCTTTTGGCAGAGAATCATAGGAGGCTTCATGCAGATTGCATATTGTGGCCTCAGATGATCTGGGAAAACATGCCCTGTTACTGCTATGTGCACATCTGAACCCTGTTCAACTCTGAAGCGGTGCGCACACATGCACTTTGTGTGTATTTCTTTGGGCTTGTGTGTGGTTACGGTTGTGTGCTTTACCTCCACGTAGTCTTTGGCGTGACCCCAGTCCCTCTTGGAGTCCAGGTTGCCCAGGCTGAAACTCTCCAGTTGGCCCAGGTGAATCTTTGCCACAGAACGGCTGATCTTACGCGTCACAAAGTTTGAACCTAAAACACATACATTAAAAATGCTTGGTTGGCATGTTCTGAATTCAATTACAGTTTACATGGAATCTAAATATAACAAAGTTTCAGCCTGGTCCAACACACACAAACAGTCAAACAGAGAAACAAGGAGCAGATAAGTGAAGTCGAGGCCTCCTCATTGAAAATAGAATTTAGAAACACAAAACCTCTACATAATATTCCATCACCACACACACACAGCCTTCCAAACCTCTATTACTGCTCCAAGTCCTCTTTAGCCAAAGTTAAAAAGTCAAACAAAAAGCCACCCTGAGTCAAATCAATTCGTTACCACCTCACATTACAGCCACTAGATCCTTTAAGATTCTTCTCTCTCATTTTCCCCTCTAATTCACTGTTTCGGTGTCAAACCTGGGCTGGTAGCCAATATAAATCTCACAGTATTAGTCTGTCAGCACCAAAAAAAAGAGCAACAGGGAAGTTCCACAGAAAAATCACAACCAAACAGGACCACCCTGGCTCTGCTGGTGAACTGTCCAGTCCAGGATCACCACATCGACAGCTGACACATCTGCCACATCACCCAGCGGTGCCCCTCACTCTCAACAGACACATGGCGATATTATCTGCGGAAAAACAAATGAGCTCCTAATGACTATTTTTGTGCTGCTAGATGGGTTAGAGGAGTTTCTGGGTGTTTTGGCGGGACACTGAGGTTCGAGATCATATTCTCTGCTGCTGCTGCAGTAGGAAAGATGCCGCAGATAGTCTGTGAATAAATGTTCAAGCCCTCCAACCCACATACTGCATTATACAGATGGAAATCAACACTATATATTCGGGTGTCACATCTAAAATTGCCACCATCTTAGCTCAAACAGCTTATTAAAGTTAATGTTCAAATGGCGGATATGTGAAAAAATCATTTCAAAGGGAGCCTGAAGCTTGCATCAAAGCATTGGCTATTTTTAGCTCACACAACATCTCTACTGTACACAAATCTCCCACAACCTTGCGTGAACCTCTTTGAGGCCTCTTAAAAGGTCCGACAAGCTGCTTTTTAAATTCATCATGCTTGAGATGAATGTTGCCTTACCGCTCAGCACCCATCCTGGCCATAAAAGCGCTCCTCTGTCTTGACACTGTATCACTGTTGCCCTGACATGGAGCAGAGCTTCCATTTAGACACAGGAAAATCCCATGAACCCAATCATGCGAATGCACCAAATTTGTAGTAATTATTTCATAGGAAAACGACAGCCATGGGCAGACTGAGCAAAAACAGACCAGAGAAGGTTAGACACACTTATTTGAGAAAATACAGCATGTTTGTTGGCAGCGGGTCACATGGCCCATGTCAATGCTGCTGTGTCACCAGTTTAATCATAAAGCGCTGTGAAGAGCTTCTCTAGCTCACACTACAACGTGTAGCAGCCAGGGCTTTTGGATTTTGACCAATTTTAGAGACTAAAAATGAGGGAATCTTGCTTTGATTTTGGACATTCTTTTTGATGTATGTCCTGCTGGTCCCCCAGATTTATAAAAGGACAACAGGTGATTATTCTTTTTAGTGGAATGTTTTAGGTATGTTGCCTTTATTTGGCAGCGATGGAGCAAGAAAGAGAGACAGGGGCATGTCATGACATGCAACAAAGTTCACTGTCTGGAATCCAACTGGAGATGATGTCATTAAAAGGTATGCATCTTAACACCCACACAAACAGGCACCCAACTTGAGTACTGAGCCAATAATCAATTATTTTGGGTCATTTATCAAAAGAACCAAACATTTCACCTTCTCAAATCTGTCATAAAGTCTTTGTTTTAAAACATTACAACTGAGTAACTGCTATTTCATTCATATTGCATTTCTCTTTAGTATTCCACTTGGAAATGAGTGTTTGCAGGTGCGCTAAACATCTTCCCTTTACTTCTGCTAATCGTGTATTTCCATTTTGTGTCACTGTAAATCCAATATCTTTGGGTTTTAACTGCTGACCAGTTGAAATCATGTTGTCTAAAAGATAATAAAGTTTCATTAACAGCAGTCCTCCATGTTTCTTATAGTAGGACCTGGTGGGGGGAGGCAATGTAACAAGAGCCCACAGTGGTAACTACAGTTAATTAGAAGGCAGGGGGGGTTGATTTGATCCAACATCCAGGGGAAACAAGTTTTCAAGGTATACCCAGGTTGTCTAAACCCAGTAGAGCAGAGTTGGCTCTTAAAAAGGTGGCACAGGAATACAGTGTAGCATATTGCCCCAGTAAGTAATAAAGTACATTATTTCCCCCTAAGCAAACCTGCAGTCTCCTTGTAAAGCTCACACCTCTGTTTGGAGTGGCCCTGCTCCCTGCCTTGTCTAATTGGTGCAGTGTGGACCAGAGCATGGGCCTATTGGTCCAGCCTGCCTGACTGTGGACAAAGCCTGCTCTGTTACTGGCTGGGTGTTAATGTGTTTCCTTTACTGGCAGCGGTACCGCAAGACTGCCAGGAGGAGGGAGCCAAGGCGGGCGGGGGGAGCCAGGGGGGCTAAGAGGAGGTTTCAAGCCCAAATGGGGCAGCAGTGGCCTTTTAACCTTGCCCATGGCCCAGCGGAAAGTCTAATAAAACCACTGGCCGTGAAAACTGAGCAGACAGCAAAACCCATGCCAGAACCCTGCACTCGCTCTCTCTCTCTCCCTCCCCCTTCTCTCATTCTTTCTTAAACATTTCTTTCCTTTTTCCCATCATCCCTATTCATTTTTTGGCCAGAGAAGCAACAGGAAAAACGTAACACATCGGTTCCGTTGGCATAGCTGGGCTGAAGTACGGGGGGGGGAGTGAGGAGAAATGAGCGGAGATGTCTCCCACCTGGTGCTAGGCTATGTGGGCCCAGACAGGATGGGGACTGGAGCTGTCAGCTGGGGGCGTGTGGGTTTCAGGGTATTTTGGCTGGACTGACCCTGATTACTTAACAGTTGTTAGAACCACGCTGCTAAGGAAAGGTGACTTCTGAAGTCTATCTTCAAGCTGTGTGATGGCCCAACCCTTAAACACTCAAACCTCAAGATGTCTGACTCACACTCACTTTTATTACTGTGTACGAGTATTTATGTGCGTTTAGAGATTGAGATTCAACCACAGTGTGATTTATTCAAATCACTCCTTTGTACCATTTATTGTGAAGATGTAGTGTATGGTCATGGCTCAGCCAAATGTCATATTAACTCTGGAAAACTGAACAGTTGAGTAAATTCAAGTCTTGAATCACATCAAGCATTTATCAAGTTGATCGTTAATGCTACATTTGCACAGGTAGAACATCTACTTCCTTCCTAAGCCAAGTTCTTTCCAGCTTCGGACCTGGTGTATGTTTTTCATCACCACATGAATCCCTTCCAAGGTGATTTGCAGGATGTTACTGACTTCTCCCTTTTCCTAATAAAAATGAGGAATGACTTGGTAACCCCAGACTGTTCTAATAAACCACATTCCAAAAATAGGACCATGAAATGCTTACTTAAAAAAGTTGAACACAAAGATTCATTCTGAGCATTTTTCAGACGGTTGAAAATTGAATCATCTTCTGGCCTGAGCTTGTCTGAACTGGCAACAGGGGTGGTATGTGAAAAAAAAAGTCAAGACATAATTTTGATTGCCAGAGGGTGGTCATAGAAACCCTTAAACTACCTCAAAGTTTACACACCTGTTTTGGAATTAAACCAAAACTGCAAATCCCATAATCCCACTCTGTCTTTGAGCAGCAATGAAAGGCTTTGTGGTAAATTTCAAGTGAAAAATGCAACTCTTAACCTTCATCTCCACTCCCACATGCGACAGGACTCTGTACTGTAGCTCTGTCTACATTTAAATGAAACCATCATCTTTATCTGTACGTATGTACCTGAACTGCAGGAGCAAAGAGCGATTCTGCAAGAGAATCTTTCAGGGTTTGGGGGGTGGTCAGTTTCCACCAAGGCCAAAGACCTGTCAGTGTCTGCCATCACCGTTATTGCACAATTCACATTCTGACTGATCTGTGGAGCCTTGACGAAGGGAGAATATTTGCATTACATCCAAGATAGGTCATGCGCTCAGCTCCGCCAACACAGCGTCTATTCACACCTGTCAGACTGCTGCCTGTGTTCTGGGCTGACTCAACTGGCAGGGAGGGTGCAACGGGAAAGAAATGTGATGTGAAGAGGATCGGAATTGGGCTCGAGGCTTGCAAAGACAAGGATCAAGAAAGTAACTTTTTTTTAAATTGGGTGTGATGCAAGAAAATGGATGGATGGCACAGGCTGTACAAAAGGTGTGGGGAAAGAAAGGGAGAGTGTGTAGAAAGAGAGAGGAGTATATGATACATGTTTTTATTAAGCTTGAACACTGACAACACCACCTCCACATTGCAGAATCGAGAGTCAGTGAGGTGAAGGGTTTCTCTCTAGTAATAAAAACAAACATGTTATTGTGTCTGGCAGCATCCCATAGTTTCACCCTAAATCAAAATACAGTAGAGCGACATCTTGAGGTTCAGCTGTCCTAAAGCCTGGCTTAGACAGGGCTCGGCAAAGGTTCAGAGATACAACAATGCTCTCTGAACTCACAATGCATTCAGCGCCGCTGAAAGCGAGCACTCTGTCAGCAAGATACTTGGTTACCATAGCAATCTGGGACAACAAACACAATTCTGACAGCGGCAAATGGGACAGGTGAATTTAGAAATCACGACCACGTGGCATGCCTTAAGTCAAGGTAGACTGAGACACAGTGAAGCACCTATGAGCCACGTGATTCAAGCTGGTCAAAGGCATGTAGGGAGGAGAGGACTCTGTCATCAGTGCTGCTTTGAGGCATCAAACAACGCTCTTCACCTGGCCACAGTTCAGCTGATGTTTAGGCTGCTCTCACTCAGCCCTTCTCATCAACACCCAACAAAATAGAAAGCCAAAAAACAAGAAGTATCTGGTCCAAGCTGCGTCCAGTCTTTACAGATACCTCCAAATCCCCTTGATGCCCCCTGACCATGCTAATCCCAGCT